ACCACCAGATACATCAGCAACTGAGTGTCCTTTCGGCTTTGACCCAGTCGCTTCATTCTTTCTGGCGCTACTAGTACTAGCCCTCTGCTCTTCCCCAGTAGCATATTGGACATCTTCCGACCTGAGGCGCTCATCTTCTGGCATCATATCTTTTTGCCTTTTGGTACTGTCCATGGGGTTTTCATGGCAGAAATACTGGAGTGGATTGGCATTTCCTTTTCCAGTGGATCACTTTTTGTCAGAGCTTTCTGCTATGACTTGTCCGTCTTGGGTGGCCCTGCACGGCATAGCTCATAGCTTCATTGAGCTATGCAAGCCTCTTCGCCACGACAAGGCAGTGATCCATGAAGGAGGTGTATAGGTATCAGTGTATGGATAACCTCAGTGTTCACTTTTGAATGAAAATAGTTTGAAGTGTTTTTAGATAAGCTTACTCTAGCCTGGTGGACTGCATCTCTCATCATTCCCAGCCAGCATATGGGGACCCTGAAGTTTTGAAAGTACATTCAGGAAGTTTCTGAAATTTGCAATATACTGGGAGTTTGTACCCCATCACTACATTGATCGTTTGCATGTCCCTGAAGATTCTCTGGGAATGAGATCAATCCAGCCGTGGTTCGAGCTGTGCTATACACTGTTACCAAATTTGGGAGCTTTTCTGTGACTTAAGGGGATGTATGATAGAGCCTGTGCTGCTGATAGTACCATTCACTTTTTGTCCCACAATTGAACTTGGTCCAACAGGTTTTTCAGAGTTTTTTTATGGCTGTATAACTCAGATGGAATGGAAGTCTCTATAAAGGTCAATATCCCTTTGTCAATGTTTGCAAAAAGCTATAGTCTGAAAGCAGCCATGCACTTACTGACATCCAGTTTAGTGCTATGGTGAAAATGTTGTGTAGCTAGAAACAACATAGAAGCAGGTTCCATGATATATACGCTGAAGTAGGTGGCATATTGGGGCACAGTACAAGTTTAGAACTTCCCAGAGCTGAGTTGGACTGGGGTTGCAGTACCTTAAACTGCAGGACTGTGATTCCTAATGGAATTTTATTCCATCCTTTAAAAAAAAGTCCATCATTTGGCAGGCTAGTAAATTGTGGAAAAGGCAAGGTTAGGACTGTTCTCTATTGCATGCTAGAATTCTTGTAGAAGGAGTTTTTATATATAGAGATAGAAGGATTCAGTTACATGATTCCCCACCTATAATCTGAAGTAGCACAGTGCAAAGACAGATTTGCTATCACAGTGAGAGCTAGGCCAAAGTTAAATTTATACAACAATTCTAGAAAAATGACATCTTGAAATAAAGCATTTCTGTTCACTCCATTCTGTGTAGGTTTTGAGTTTAATGCATACCATAGGCAAATATCTGAAAGAAACCCCTGTTTGTTTGTTGTTAAAGTAACTAAGCAAAGCAGTATGCATGTGTATTTTGAATGGGAAAGATATAGTCCTTTCTATCTAAAATAATTAAAAACATTAAAACATATGCTTGGGACTTAGGGTATCCAGAGGTTTATATCTGAGGAACAATCACATTCCTTTCCGATGATGATTTACTATTAGACTTACAGCATTTTGAAGATATAGATTTGTTTGTTTCATTGTCCCACTCATCTTATAGTCCAGTAAAGAACAGAACTAGACGGGGATGGGGTTAAAGGACCTGCTACTGTCAGTGTTATACCTACATAGTACATACATTGTTTTCCTCCCACTCGTTCGTCTCCCTCACCCCTCCCTGTGCTTCTTCCTTTCCTTCCCTTCGCCTCCCCCCTCCTCAGTATTAGCAATCTGCTTTGGTACTTTGACATCAGGGATTTCCCTGGTGAATTTTGTCACAGAAAAAAGAGAATCATCAATATCGCAGTTAAACTTGACTTTCAAAGCTAATAGTATCTCATTTGGGGGCTCAAATTTAATAAATTTTCTTTGATTCTGGGTGCGTTTTTAAACATCAAACAATGAATTGGCCAGGGTGCAGTAAAATATTTAGATCTATTGACTATGGTTCAGAAGGGTAGAAGGCAAAACACTGGTGGTTTGATGTTGATAAATTCTTAGTACCTTAATCCACATTAATGTTTTCTTTTATCTGTGTGCATATTGGGTGCAATGAGAAAACTGAAAAGTTAGCATGTATAAACTATAATAAACCAAGTAATATATGTATTATTGTTATTGATATTGTGAAAATAATATGTTTGCGTTGCATTAGTTGAGATAAGTATCTGAACAAAATTACACATGCTG